CATGGGAAATCAGTGGAAGATGGTCCAAGTCCTTGGGCCCCTGCACCCACGTGGGAGACCTGGAAGACCTCAACCAGAGAATGGATGACCTCTCTCTCTGCCTCTCTGTAACTCTGCCTTTCAAGTAAATAAATAATTTTTTTAAAGATTTATTTATTTATTTATTTATTTGAAAGTCAGAAATACATAGAGAGAAGGAAAGGCAGAGAGAGAAGTCTTCCATCGCTGGTTCACTTTCCAATTGGCCGCCAACGGCCAGAGCTGCGCCAATCCAAAGCCAGGCGCCAGGAGCTTCCTCTAGTCTCCCAGGTGGGTACAGGGCCCAAAGACTTGGACATCTACTGTCTTCCCAGCCCATAGCAGAGAGCTGGATCGGAAGTAGAGCAGCCGGGACTCGAACTGGCTCCCATATGGGATGCTGGCACTGCAGGTGGCAGCTTTACCTGCCATGCCACAGCGCTGGCACCCAAATAAATAAATCTTAAAAAAAAAAAATTGATATATTTAAAGGGCAGAGTGACAGAGAGAGAGAGAGAGGTAGAGATGAGGAGACAGAGAAAGAGCTTTTTTTGTTTTTGTTTTTGTTTTTTTAAGAGTACGGTATTAGCATAAGGAAAGACATATAGATCAACAGAACAGAAAGTCCAGAAATAAAAATATCTGAGGATAAATAACCTTGACAAGAAAATGAAGTTCATTCAATGCAGAAAAAAGAGTCTTTTATTCAACAAATGATGCTGGGACAGTTAGATGCAACATGAGAAAAAAAATGTTCGACTCCTACTGCATAGCAGATATAAATTTAACTCAGGTAAGTGAAAGACCGAAACAGAAGAGCTAAAACTATAAAACACTTTGAAGAAAACATAATAAAAACTCTCCACAATAACCCCAAAGAATGAGTAAAAAAATAGACAAATTAAGCTATATAGGAATTTGAAACTTTTATATATCAAAGGGCCTGATCAAGAAAGTGAAAAGAAAACCTACAGAATGGGAGAAAATATTTGCAAATTATATATACGATAAAGAAGATTACTAAGGATATACTGAAGAACTCTTACCACTCACTACTAAAAAGACAACCCAATTAAAAATGGGCAAAAGGCTTGAATAGACATTTCTCAAAGAAGATACACAAATGAGTATATATGCACATGAAAAGATGCTCTAAGTCACAATCCTTAGGGAAATGCAAAGCAAAACCACAATTAGACACCACTTCACACTAACTAGGACAGTCAACATTTTAGAAAAAGAAATTAAGTGTGGGTGAGAATGTGGAGAAATTGGAGCCCTTACACATCACTGCTGGGAATGTAAAATGGTACACCCACTGCAGTAAATAATTTGGCAGTTCCTTAAATGATTTTTTTTAAGTTAAACATAGAATTACCACACTCCAGCGACTCAACACTTAAGTGTACACCCAAGAGAATTGAGAATGGTCCACAAATAAATACTTGTACACCAATGTCCATAGTAGCACTATTCATAACGAAAATGTCCTACAATGGATGAATGGGTCAACAAGATTTGGTCCATACAAACCCTGAAATGCTACTCAACCACAAGGACAAACAACAGGGCGGCATTGTGGTGTAGCTGGTTAAGGCACCATCTGAGACACCAGCATTTCATATGGGTGCTGGTTCGAGTCCCAGCTGTTCTGCTTCTGATCCTGGTCCCTGATAACACTCTTCTGAAGGCAATGAAAGATGGCCTGAGTGATTGGGCCCCTGACACCCACGTGGGAGACCAGGATGGAGTTTCAGGCTCCTGGAGTCAGCCTGGTACAGCCCTGGCCATTGTAGCTATCTGGGGAATGAACCAGCAGACAGATCATCTCCCTGTCTCTGTCTCTGCCCTTTTTCTCTGTAACTGTGCTTTTCACATAATTAAATCTGGCAAAAAAAAAAAAGAAGTGCTACACATGGATGAACCTCACAAACATTACTGTGTTAATTATAGGAAGCCAAACAAGGTCATACATCACATGCCTACATTTGTACAAAATAAGAATACATAAATCCATAGAAACAGAAAGCAAATTGGGGGCCGGTGCTGTGGCACACCGGGTAAAGCTACTGCCTGCCTTGCCAATATCCCTATGGGCACCGGTTCGACTCCCGGCTACTCCACTTCTGATTCAGCTCTCTGCTATGGTCTTGGAAAGCAGTAGAAGATGGCCCAAGTCCTTGGGCCCCTGCACCCATGTGGGAGACCCAGAGGAAGCTCCTGGCTCCTGGCTTCGGATCGGCTCAGCTCCAGCCATTTCGGTCAACTGGGGAGTGAACCAGCAGATGGAAGACTTTTCTCTCTTGTTGCCTCTCCTCTGTGTAACTCTTTCAAATAAATAAATCTTAAAAAAAAAAAAAGAAGAAGAAGAAGAAGAAAAAAAAAAGAAAGCAAATTGGATGGGAGGGGAGCGGGGAGTGACTGCTTGATGTTTTCAGAAGACAAAAAGGATTGAGAACTTCATATTCGTAGTGATTGCACCAAACTGGGCATGTAAGTAGTAAAATGGTTAAGTTGGGGGCGTAATGTAGCACAGTGGGTTAAGCTATTGCTTGCAACAGAGTGCCAGTTTGAACTTTGGCTGCTCTACTTCCAATCCAGCTCCCTGCTGGTCTATCTGGGAAGGCAACAGAAGATGGCTCAGGTACTTGGACTCCTGCCACCCCTAGAGGAGTTCCTGGCTCCTGACTTCAGCCTGGACCAGTTCTGGCTGTTGAGGGCATTTTGGGAGTGACCAGCAGATGGGAAATCTCTGTCTCTATCTGCCTGCTTCTCTTTCTCCACCCCCTTCTCCCTCTGACACTCTGCCTTTCAAATAAATAAATAAATGGTTAATTTGATGTTACATGACTTTTCCCTAATAAAAAAAATTCTTAAAAATTTTATGCATCAGGGCTGGCGCCGCGGCTCACTAGGCTAATCCTCCGCCTAGCGGCGCCGGCACACCGGGTTCTAGTCCTGGTGGGGCGCCGGATTCTGTCCCGGTTGCCCCTCTTCCAGGCCAGCTCTCTGCTGTGGGCCGGGAGTGCAGTGGAGGATGGCCCAAGTGCTTGGGCCCTGCACCCCATGGGAGACCAGGAAAAGCACCTGGCTCCTGGCTCCTGCCATCGGATCAGCGCGGTGCGCCAGCCGCAGCGCGCCGGCCGCGGCGGCCATTGGAGGGTGAACCAACGGCAAAGGAAGACCTTTCTCTCTGTCTTTTTCTCTCACTGTCCACTCTGCCTGTCAAAAAAAAAAAAAAAAAAATTTATGCATCAATTAGGAGGAGATGAAAGGAAAATACTGGCTGGGAAAATGAGAAAAATGAAATCAGTGGCTAGAACATGTGGAACAATGGAAAACATTTTGTTTACTTGTTTTTTGCATTTGCTTAAACACAGGTGATCCCCATGTCTATGCACCTACGGGAATAACCTGTTAGACAGGCAGACATTAATGGCACAGCAGAGAGAGAGAAATGTGCTCAACAAAGAAGCAAGTCATTAAATCCAGAGCTTAGACAGACAGCAGTCTTGGACAGGAACCTGATGCGTGATTTTCTGAGACAGGAAAGATGATGAAAATATAGAACTGGGAAGACTATGAGAGAGTTCTATTCTGATGGCTTCAGATGATACTTGGGAAAAGGGATAGGGAGAAAAACGATATGAAACAGTCATGCTGGACAGTGAGAAAGGGAATGGCTGAGACTGGTCAGCAGCTCTGAGCGCACACCTGAGCCTGCGGTCATGAACCTGTGAACAAACAGGAGGCAGCAGGCCTGGGGAGGGCACACAGCAGGCTTCACTCGGGCTGGAGCTTTAGCCACTAGGATTAGAAAAGTGAGTACGAGGCAAGGCAACTGAGGATGGCAAGAGTATAAAATAGTCTAAACTGAGTTTAAGTGAGGGTGCCAAAAAAGCAGTTTCCACTATCCACTGAAAAATGTATGAGATCAAATGGGATCCAAAGACTTCTAAATTGAGGCCTTGGTGTGGATCACAGTAAGGGTCACAGGGACTTGAAATTCGGATGTGACCACAGAAGGGAGAGACCAAAGTCAATGAAGAAAATGACTGGCAGAGGTGTGAAGGCCAGGCAGCCATCAGTCCAGAGTGCTGGACAGACCATCTCCACCGATGGCTTAGCCATAAAGAATAGGGATAGGAATATGGGAGGAGAGAAAGAGAGCAAGTCAAAATTTAAGGTTGATCCTGAATGACACAAGTGACCAGGTGGCCAAAAGTTAGCAGCTGTGAAGATGGCGGCAAGATGGCGCCTAAAGACATGAGCTTCAATGGAACCAGTGTATCTGAACAAAGAGCAATGTTAAGAATGCGAGGGAAGAGGGGTCGGCGCCGTGGCTCACTTGGCTAATCTCCCTCCTGTGGCGCCAGCATCTCACGTGGGCACCGGGTTCTAGTCCTGGTTGCCCCTCTTCCAGTCCAGCTCTCTGCTGTGGCCCGGGAAGGCAGTGGAGGATGGCCCAAGTGCTTGGGCCCTGCACCCCATGGGAGACCAGGAGGAAGCACTGGCTCCTGGCTTCAGATTGGCGCAGCTCCGGCCTTGGCAGCCATTTAGCGAGTGAACCAATGGAAGGAACACCTTTCTCTCTGTCTCTTTCTTTCTCACTGTCTATAACTCTACCTGTCAAAAAAAAAAAAAGAATGTGAGGGAAGAAAGAGATGCACCTAGGAGGGCTTGCAGCCTGCAGCTGGAGAGGCCAGTGGAGTCCTTTAGGCCAGGATGGCCTGGAGACATGAGCCCAGCCCAGGACACATTTAACTCCTCTGAGCCTTGGTGTCTAGCCTGCAAGAAGCGGTAAAACTCAACCTGACTCGAATAAAGAGATGCGGGCAAGCATTCAGCACAAAGGGGCTTAGCTCTCTCTGAAACCCACCATGAGCATCAGCCCTTCCTCCTAACCAGAAGCCAGTGGAACAGTTTCTCGGGGCAGAAGTCAAGTTCAGCTCTGGAGAGCCAGGCTGACTCAGGCCGCGTACCTTGGGGCCTCTGTGATGCGCTTCATCCTGAGTGTGAGACCCTGGCTCCACTTCCTCCGGGCCATGCTGTTTGGATTCGCATTTGCCTTTCTTGCAGTTGCCACCACAGGACTTCTTCTCTCCTTTACACAGTGCACGCAGCCGGGAGATGAACTTGGCCTTCCAAGCCCTGAAGTCGGCTTCGATGCTGCCATGTTTGCTTTTAGCCACGTTGCAGTCGCCCTCCCCTCGCGTCAGCACGCGATGAGCACCGAGCTTCCAGAGCCACCGGTCAACATTTTTGCCAACCTGCGAGAGAAAGACGTGGATCCTCTCAGTCAGGTTCTCAGACAGTTCTGCGGAAGACCGGGGCTGTCCTGGGGCCCGGGGCAGGAGCAGCTGCCCAAGGGGCAGGAACTGCCAGCAAAAAAGGCTTCAAACCCTCAAATCCCAGTTTCTACCCAAAGGCCTTCATTTTATAGATTCTGATTTTCTGCTAAGAGTTCTTTAAACAAAGGCACAATCCAAGCCCTTTTATGGGTCAAAAGCCGAAAAGAATTTTTTTGAAATTTGACTCTGAAATCTACTACTCTAATAAATCAAGCTCACAAGCAAAATACTCATTACCAAAATAAAGAAGTTTCAAAAAAATCTAACAAAGCCCATGGGGCCAAAGCCTGTAGAGTAAAAAAAGGACAAATGTAATCAATCTGGCAAGACTCAGGATCCTGAAAATTCAAATATTTATTTCATTGTGACTGGAAGCAGTCAAGCTGAGCCACAGAGGTTATCAGGAAACATAATTAAAGAGTTCAAAACCTTAATAGGCTTCCTGAATAACAGAGCATTGAACCAAATATTTACACAACAATTTTCCTATTTTTATGCTAATTCTTTTTAAATTTTGGAGGAGGGGACAGACTTCTTTAGTTGATTAATACAAAAGGCAGTGAGGAAGAGACACAGAGAGTTTCCTTCCCCTGGTTCACTCCCAAATGCTTAGTCTCCCATGCGGGAGGTGGCAGGGCCTAAGCACCAAGCCATCCTCTGTTGCCCTCTGTTGCACTAGCAGGGGGAACACCAGGGACACAAACCGGTGTTTCCGCATGGGATGCCGGTGTTGCAAGTGAAGGCCTAACCTGCATCACACCTAGGGCCCCAATACGTTTACCTCAGCACAAAAAAAACAGCATTTTTATAATATGCATTTTTTCATGAGCCTTTTGAAGACCCTTCGGATGTATAAAGTTCAAAAACTTTTGGGGCAGGCACTGTGTGTGTAGCGGGTTAACGCCCCGGCCTGAAGTGCCTGCCAGCACCCCATATGGACGCTGGTTCAAGACCCGGCTGCTCCACTTCCAATCCAGCTCTCTGCTGTGGCCTGGGAAAGCAGTAGGAGATGGCCCAAGTCTTTGGGTCCCTGCACCCGTGTGGGAGACCTGGAAGAAGCTCCTGGCTGCTGGCTTCAGATCAGCACAGCTCTGGCCGTTGCGGCCAACTGGGGAGTGAACCATCAGATGGAAGACCTCTCTCTCTTTTTCTCTCTCTCTCTCTGACTCTCCTCTCTCTGTGTAACTCTGACTTTCGAATAAATAAATAAATCTTAAAAAAAAAAAAACCTTTTTCCACCATAATGAATTTATCATTAAATTCCACTTCACACAAATTATTATTTTTTTGTTTATTTGCTTTCATTTTATTTGAGAAGCAGAGTGACAGAGGGATATCTTCCATCTGCTGGTTCACCCCCTAAATGGTCCCAATAGCCAGGCCACCTAGGTGGCAAGGACCCAAGTACTAGACCAACCACCAGCTGTCTCCCAGGCTGCATATTAGCAGGAAGCTGAATAACAAAGTGGAGAAGCCAGGACTCAAATCATAGGCTCTATCAGGGGAAGTGGGTGTCCCAAGAGGCAGCTTAACCACTGCACCAAACACCTGCCCCCATTTTCCACAAACTTTCCAAAGTGTTTTCTTATAAGCAGCAATTTACAATTATAAAGATAACACAAGAAATTGATCATTTAGTGCCCAAGTTTGTAGATTATTTCACTCAAACGTGTGAGGTGTTTTATTGATTAAAAAGATCTTATCCCTGTAATTCAATATGCACGTACCTTGTTAAAGTGGTTTGAATAGGCAGAATTTCCCAGACCGAACACCGCGTATCTCATCCCCTTTAGGTAAGTTTTGTCAAACCGGAAATCACTGGCTGCCTCCTCCAACCACTTGCAGAACCACTCCGCGCTCTCAGGCGGCCGGCCATCCGTATACGTGGCAAGCAGGAAAGCACAGACGGTTCTACTAGTGACCTAGCCGAGAGAGAACACGTTTCAGACAGGCAAGCTACAAAGGACCTCGCTGATGAAAATTCCTTCTCAAAATGCCGGCACTCATGTCATAGTAAAGGGCCCATTCTCAACATTCTTTGTTTCAATGGTGAAAGGAAATACAAGGACACCTTGATAGGGGAGAAAACCCAGTTCCTTATACACCTCATTCCTCAGACCTCATTCCTCATACAGGGAACAAGAAATACAAGTCAGTTAAGAAAAAGATCGCCTGCAACTTGCCTACAACCATAAAACTTTTAAATGCAAAGTAACTTACCCGGTGGCACCATCAACTGCATAGGGAGGAAATAAGATCAATTGGGCAGAGGATTTCACTTGCTTGAAGGTGTCGTAACAGTTCCAAGTCAGGAGGCAAGTTACAGCCAACTGACTTGTAATTAAATATCACAGTTTACTAATAACTTTGCACAACTAATTTAGAGTAGATCCAAGCTCACTTATTTGTCCGGCAGTGTTTTCTTGGGGGATAAATTAATGGACGTGTGCAGGCCACATCTGACTTGCTGTCTGGTTTTTAAATAAAGTTTTATTGAAATACAGCCACGGTCATTCGTTTACAGCTACTTTGTGCCTTGATGGTGGAACTGAGTGGCAGCAAGGCCCACAATGCTTAAGATACTAATCACCAGGACCTTTATGCAGAAGTCTGTCAACCCCTACTCTGTTTCTCCAACTTTAGCTGCACTAGAACCACCTGGAACACTTGCGAACCCCACGCCAAAAACCTGCACTTCTAACAAGTAGAACAGATGCTGACATCACTGGTTTAGGGCCCACACTTTTTTTTTTTTTTTTTTTTTTTTTTTTTTTGGACAGGCAGAGTGGACAGTGAGAGAGAGAGAGAGAGAGAGAGAGAGAAAGGTCTTCCTTTTGCCGTTGGTTCATCCTCCAATGGCTGCCGCGGCCAGGGCGCTGATCCGAAGCCAGAAGCCAGGTGCTTCTCCTGGTCTCCCATGCAGGTGCAGGGCCCAAGCACTTGGGCCATCCTCCACTGCCCTCCCGGGCCACAGCAGAGAGCTGGCCTGGAAGAGGGGCAACCGGGACAGAATCCGGTGCCCCGACTGACCGGGACTAGAACCCGGGACGGCGGCGCCGCAGGTGGAGGATAAGCCTATCAAGCCGCAGCGCTGGCCAGGGCCCACACTGAGAACCATGGCTTTAAGGCAAAAATCCCCTACGTGGGTATGACTGCAGGAGGTGAAGGAATTAATCCCTCATGGACATCAAGTAATGCGCTGAGGTCACACAGCTAATAAGAGATCATTCAGGCCGGTGCTGTGGCTCACTAGGCTAATCCTCCACCTGCAGCACCGGCACACCGGGTTCTAGTCCCGGTTGGGGCACCGGATTCTGTCCCGGTTGCCCCTCTTCCAGGCCAGCTCTCTGCTGTGGCCAGGGAGTGCAGTGGAGGATGGCCCAAGTGCTTGGGTCCTGCACCCCACGGGAGACCAGGAGAAGCACCTGGCTCCTGCCATTGGATCAGCGCGGTGCGCCGGCCGCAGCGCGCCAGCCGCGGCGGCCATTTGAGGGTGAACCAACGGCAAAGGAAGACCTTTCTCTCTATCTCTCTCTCTCACTGTCCACTCTGCCTGTCAAAAAAAAAAAAAAAAAAAAAAAAAAGAGAGAGAGAGAGAGAGAGAGATTGTCCAAATTCCAAATCCATACTCTTTCTGCCCGTGACCTTCAGATGGCACAGTCAAGGTGCAGAGCACACTGCCTTCGGTGACGACCTTCCCGCTGATGGTAAGATTCAACGTGTGTGTATGTGTGTGCATGTGCACCTGCATGTGTGTAGGGCAGGCACAGTGGGAGCGGGGGTACTACCCCCCAGTACTACCCCTGCCCCAGGAAACTCTAACTCATCAGGAGGACAGGACTCATGTCATGTCATGCTGGAATCAGTGTACAGCACACATTCCACGTTAACACTCAACCCACTGAAATCACATGGCATGAAATCAGATGGATTCTAAAGGTCCTATTTATCCCAGGAGACAGGAGGTCAATTACATGGGACAATTCTGACCCAGGACTAACCTCTTCTGCCAGGTGATCATCTGGATCATATTGTTTCAGATTAATAGCTTCCACCGGCAAGTCTAGGGAGGTTACTGCTTCAGCAAGACTCGCTGCAAACCCCTAAGAGGAAAACAAAACTCAAATAAAGTCCTGGACAAGACAAATAAGCAAAACACAGCCCTCATTTACCCAGTTAGCCGCAGAAGGTGACAGTCCTCATGAAGAACTTTTCCTGGGGCTCATGTTTATCACCGTGAGCTCAAACCCTGTCCTCACTTTGGCCATTTTCTCAGGCACCATGAGAGAAGCCCATCACTTAATCTGACAAGGCTCATTCTGGAAGGGGTAGCAGGACCAAGTCTACGTTACTTCCTTCACATTCCAGCTGCTGTACTCCACTAGAATCAATATGCAGTATAAAAAGCAACACTGATGAGTGAAAAGAATGGGAAAAATAAACAGGAACAGGTTGACGGATATGTGGAAGCCCTAAGGGAGAGTTCTTATTCAGACATCTGACAGGTACAAGGGAGAGGCTCCAGGCTTGGAGTCAGCCACCACAACAAGAGAGGGAAGGGAATACGGGGCAAACAAGAACCAATTAGCTGACAATTTGTATATGGGACAAGAGCACACAGAAGTCTACAGAGTGTATACAACATTTGCAGCTTATCTCCAGGCAAAACACCTGCCAGTTCTCCCCAAAACAAATGAACAAATAAACAAATGTCTGGGGACAGCTGAAACTTCTGGGCAGATGTTGGCACTCTAGGAAAACACTATACTCTCTTCTGCTTCGTGGTCCAACATCTGACTCACGGTATCCGTGCCCGGGCTTTTAGTCAAAACTAATTCATTCACTGGGCAGCTACACACCAGTCTCGTTTCTGGGCTGTACGACACAATGATTAGCGAGACAAAGTCCCTGCCCTCAAGAAGTTTAAGTTCTAATGGATAAAGAATAAACACAGAAATGAGAAATATAGGGTATACCAGATGGTGATAGATGCAATGGAGGGAAATCAATCCAAACCAGTGTAGGGACAAGGGTGTTATTTTACATCTGACAATCAGAACAAGTGCACGTACTCAACAATAAATATTTGGTCTTTGTCCCCAGCCCAGAACACCTGAAGCCCTTGAAATTTATTGTTTCTTACATGCTAGTGAGATAACTTTCCAGGAGGGATGTTTTGTAGTTCCGGGATGGGGGCTGGACAGCAGAAAAACCAACCACATTTAGAAGTTCAATTCAGTCCCCTCCATCCAACCTCTGGGGAGGGGATAGGGGATGAGAGATTGAGCTTAATATCAAATGGCCAACGATTTAATCGATCATGCCAACAGAATGAAACCTCCAGGGAAAAAACTGGTGAACACAATGGTGTGCTGGGGAGAAGGCACGGAAATTCTGTGCACATGTCCATACTTTGCCTTCTGCCTTTCATCCATCTGACTGTTCCTGAATTGTATCTTTTGTAATAAGCACATAAACATAAATCAAACAACACACCCAGTTCTGTGAGCCACTCTATCAAATCATCGGACCTGGGGAGGAGGTGGGGAAGCAGGGACCTATAACTAGTGTCTGAAGAGAGGACAACCTCATGGAATAAACCCTTCAGCCTGTGCAGTCTGATGGTGACTTGGTAGTTAGCAGCAGAGATGGGAGAAGTTGGGGAGGGAAAAAGACAAGTACTTGGGATCAGAAACTGTAGGTAGGCCTCAAAAATAAAATATGATTTGAGCCAAAGCTGAAGGAAGTGAGGCATCTAGCTAGGTGGTTATCCCAGGCAGAACCCAAAGGAGCAAGCACTCGGCAAAGAAGTTAACAAAAAAAGGATGCAAGCGATGAGGTACTAGGAAAGGTAGCAGAGACCCACATGTGCAGGGCCTCTTGGCTATCACAAGGACCTTGGCGGGTTCATCTGGGTGCAGAGGTCATTGCAGGGGTTCAAGCAGAGGGCAACATAAGTTTCAAAGAGTCCCCCAGGTGGGTAGGTTGAATATACTGGATTCCGGGGAGGGCTGAGCTGTACTGAATCCAGGAAGCCAGTAGGGAGATGACTGCTATAATCTGGACAAGATAGGATGGCGGCCTGGCAGCCAGAGTGGTGAGCAGTGATTGCAATCTGGATCTTTTCTGAAAGGAGAACAGGGTGTGCTGACAGACTGGATGGATGGATGCTGTAAGCAAGAGAAGTCAGGGGCCCAGCAGGTTAAGACGCTGCTTCCCACACTGGCATCCCATAGCAGACTGCTGGTTTGAATCCCGGCTACTCTGCTTCTCATCCAGCTGCCTGCTAATGTGCCTGGGAAGGCAGCAGAAGATGGCCCGAGTCCTCCAAAGACCCTCTGAAACCGTGAGCCAAAATAAACCTTTTCTGTTTATAAAGTTATCGTCTCTCTCTTTGTAAGATGTATCTATTTAAAAGGCAGAGCCTCAGAAAGAAAAGAGACAGAGAGACAGAGAGACAGAGAGAGAGAGAGATCTCAGGGCACTGGTTTGCATCCCAAATGGCTGCAACAGCTAGGCGTGGGGCAAGCCAAAGCCAGGGCCCCAGAACCCCATTCAGGTCTCCCCCACGGGTGGCAGGGAGCCACCCTCTGTTGACTCCAAGGATGCATAAGCAGGAGGCTGGATCAGAGGTGTGGAATCTAGGACGCAAACCAGCACTCAGACACAGGACGCGAGCAGCCTAAACTGCTGCACCACACACCGACACCAGCCTTTGAGAAGTACACAGGGAATGCACACTGTTTTAGCTGCTCGGAGTGCTTGCTGACTTTCTACAGGTTTCCTGTCTTTATTGCTAACAGGTGAACCTGCACCAGAGAACAAAAACCCTTACAAGTATCACTCTATACAATACCCACAAGAGGGCAGTAGAACTCTCCTTGGTAGTATACACAAATGATAGTTTCTGAACTTTTTTTTTAAATAATTCATTTTCATGCCAGCCTTACTTCGAATCTTTTCCTAGAAAGTACTAAACAGCTGTGACCTTTGTAACTAAGAAGCTGGCAGTATTCAGAAACAATTAGGTAACAAGAAGCTTCTTTTAGCTAGATACCTGCCGCTGTGTATCTCATGTCAACTTCTAACAGTTTTATTAACACTATTAGAAGTCAGAACGCATTTCAGTAAATTGATGTGTAAAGTTGTGAAAGCCGGGGCCCACTGCAGACACTGCTGCTGCTGTCCTCCGCTCGCCATCCTCAACTCCTCCCACAGGAGTTAATAATGGAACTCTCTCCAACCTGCAAGGCAGAATAAGCTTCAGAACAAAGACCCCTCATGCCAGTGACCACCGGACACCAACAACCAGCTGTAACTGGGCACAGAGATGAAACTCGGGCCCTGAGTCCTGGCTCAGTGGTTAAACCAGCTCTTGTGACGACAGCATCCCATATGGGAGCGCCGGGAGTCCCAGCTGCTCTGCTTCCATTCCTGCCTCCCGTTAATGTGCCTGGGAAGGCAGTGTGTTATGGCCTAAGTGCTTGGGCCCCTGCCACCCATATGGGAGACACAGATGCAGTTCCAGGAACCTGGCTTTGGCCTAGCCCAGCCCTGACTACTGTGGCTATCTGAGTAGTGAACTAGCAGATGGAAGGTCTCCTCTCTCTCTCTCTCTCTCTCCTCTCTCTCTCTCTCTTTCTCTTTCTCTCCCCCTCTCTCTCTTTCTCTCTGCCTCTTCTTCTTGCTCTGTGTAACTCTTACTGCCTTTCCTGTAAGTAAATAAGTCTTAAAAGAAAAGAAACTCACTAGCCCAGAAGGAAAAATGTGAATAATGGAAAAGCGAGAAAGACTAAAGACTGGAAGACTAATTCAGCTCACGGCCAAAGGATGTGATTTCAGGAACTTTCTGAAAATGTCAGGAAATCAAAGGGAAAGCAACATGTCAAGGTCTTACCTTTGCGGTTCCAGTCTGGGAACCATAGAAAATCTTCACTCCAGACACAAAGATTTCCCTCTTCTGAAGGGAAATGTAACCATTTGTCATCAATTCCTGGTTTGCTTTTGAAACGGATTTCACCTGTGAGTTCTTGGCCTTGAAGAGAAAGGATTATACACAATCCATTCAAGTCTAAAAATTGATTTCCAACTTCAGAAAAGATAAAAATCAGCACAGAAACCAATCCACTTTCTCATCCTTTCCATCTTGCTGGTTGTGCTCCTCAACTATGAACCCCTTAGTAGACTGAAGGCCTTAAAAGGCAGAAGGCAACTTTCTAAAGCCTGCAGTGGCAGCCATTCCCTCCAGGGTAAAACAGTCATTCTTCAGTATCCACAGAGGATTAGTTCCAGGACCCACTGAGGAAGCCCAAGTCCACGGAGGCTCCAGCCTTTACATAAAATGGCTTAGCATTCGTATATAACCCACACATATCCTGCTATATAGTTTAACCCACCTCTAGGTTACTTATAATAACTAATATATAAATGCTACGTAACTAGTTGTTATGCCTTATTGCTTAGGTGCAGGGGTGGGGAGTCTTTTTTCTGCCAAGAGGCCATCTGAATAGTCATAATATCATTTGGGGGTCACACAAAATTATCAATTTAAAAATTAGACTGGTAGGGCCAGCGCCGTAGCACACTAGGTTAATCCTCCACCTGCTGCGCTGGCATCCCATATGGGCGCCGGTTCTAGTCTCAGTTGCTCCTCTTCCAATCCAGTTCTCTGCTGTGGCCTGGGAGGGCAGTGGAGGATGGCCCAAGTGCTTGGGTCCTGCACCCACATGGGAAACCGGGAAGAAGTTCCCGGCTTCGGATTGGCGCAGCTCCAGCCATTGCGGCCATTTGGGGAGTGAACCAATGGAAGGAAGACCTTTCTCTCTCTCTCTTCTCTCTGTCTCTCACTGTCTGTAATTCTACCTGTCAAATAAATAAAACCTTTTAAAAAAAATTAGCCTGCTATAGATTTATTGAATCTCGAATCCTGCTGTGGTTGCCTTGACAAGACCAGACCAAATACATTTTGCAGGGCCTTTAACATCCCTTGGGCTAGATGCTTCCCACCTCTGGAATAATGGCAAGAAAGAGTCTGCATCATAATCAGTCCAGAAGCGAAAGCTTTTTCTGGTATTTTCGATCCACAGCCAGTGGAATCTGTGGAGGCAGAGACATGGCCATCCTTTCATCTTCAGTTTTATAACAGCAGGGCCTTATTTTCTGATCCTTACTCAGTAGAAAGAGTACTACACCTTAAAGGCATAAAATAGATTTGTTTTCCTAACGAAGTAAAAATTCCTCATTACAAAAATCTTCCTGGATCTGAAGAATGAGGCATCCACAGCGCACCTAAAGAAAAAGTAAATCATTTTGTCTGTAACAATTTAGACTCTAAAAACTTAGAGAAGAAATGTTCTTGGGTATTTAAAATGTTTAGAGACCAAACAAAAAAGTGAGGGGAGGTCCTTTAAGTTTTTCTGTATTTTCCCAAAAGCCTTAGAAAATCTGCAATGTAAATTCCCCATAGAACCTGATGCCTAAATAACCGTCTATTAAAAAATACCTCCTCAGGACCGGCGCCACGGCTCAATAGGCTAATCCTCCACCTGCGGCACCGGCACACCGGGTTCTAGTCCCGGTTGCTCCTCTTCCAGGCCAGCTCTCTGCTGTGGCCAGGGAGTGCAGTGGAGGATGGCCCAAGTGCTTGGGCCCTACACCCCATGGGAGACCAGGATAAGTACCTGGCTCCTGGCTTCGATCAGCGCGGTGCACCGGCTGCGCGGCCACTGGGGGATGAACCAATGGAAAAGGAAGACCTTTCTCTTTCTCTCTCTCTCTCTCTCTCTCTCTCACAGTCCACTCTGCCTGTCAAAAAAAAAAAAAAAAAAAATTCCTCAGGGCTGGCGCTCTGGCGTAGAGGGTAAGGCTGCCGCCTGCAGTGCCGGCATCCCATATGGTGCCAGTTTGAGTCCCGGCTGCTCCACTTCCAATCCAGCTCTCTGGGAAAGCAGTAGAAGATGGCCCAAGTCCTTGGGCCCCTGAACCTGCGTGGGTGACCTGGAGGAAGCTCCCAGCTTCTGGCATTTTTTGTTTTGTTTTGTTTTTGTTTTTTGACAGGCAGAGTGGACAGGGAGAGAGAGAGACAGAGAGAAAGGTCTTCCTTTTGCCGTTGGTTCACCCTCCAATGGCCGCTGCGGCCGGCGCACTGATCCGAAGCCAGGAGCCAGGTGCTTTTCCTGGTCTCCCATGGGGTGCAGGGCCCAAGCACTTGGGCCATCCTCCACTGCACTCCCGGCCCACAGCAGAGAGCTGGACTGGAAGAGGGGCAACCGGGACAGAATCCGGCGCCCTGACCGGGACTAGAACCTGGTGTGCTGGCGCCGCAAGGTGGAGGATTAGCCTAGTAAGCGGCGGCGCTGGCTTGCTTCTGGCTTTGGATCCGCACAGCTCTGGCCATTGTGGCCAATTGGGGAGTGAACCAGCAGATGGAACCAGAGAACTCAATCTAACTCAGACTTTCAAATACATAAATAAATCTTAAAAAAAAAAAATACCTCCTCTTACCTGTCTCTTGATGACAATCTGGACACAAATCCAAAGGCTAATGCCAAAGGCAAAGCCCCAGTAAATGTAAAACCTGTTTATCCATAATGATAGTAAAGATGAGGAGAGGCCCCATGCATCCAAAGGAGGATCTAAAATTATAATGACATGTACATGTAATGTTACTTAAAGCTACCTATACAAAGATTTCCATCCCTATTTAAGAATAAAAAAAATCATATACACAAATCCAGCTACCAAAGAAATCTATAGACAATTCTAAAATAAATGGGGGCCAGCACTGTAGCATAGGGGGTTAAGCTACCACCTAAAACACCGACCAGGTTGGAATCTAGGTTGCTCCGTTTCTGATCCAGCTCCCTGCTAATATGCATGGAAAACAGGAGAAGTTGGCCCAATGCTTGGGCCCCTGCCACCCTCATGGGAGACCCCATGAGGCTCCTGGCTCCTGGGACCAGGTTGGAATCTAGGTTGCTCCGTTTCTGATCCAGCTCCCTGCTAATATGCATGGAAAACAGGAGAAGTTGGCCCAATGCTTGGGCCCCTGCCACCCTCATGGGAGACCCCATGAGGCTCCTGGCTCCTGGCTTTAGCCTGGCCCAGCCCCTGCTCTTTGTGGCCATTTGGGGAGTGAACCGGGAGACGGAGAACCTCTCTCTCTCTCAAGTCTCACCCTCTTTTGTTATGCTTGCTCCATTAAAAAAAAAAAAAAAAAAAAACACCTCAGCACAGTAGTAAAAGCAGGCATTTTTAAAGTCCTAAGTACCTGGCTCGCACCTGACCTCACGCCCCAGTGTCTGAAGTAAGACACCCAAGAGCCCGGCCTCAACTCTCGCACCTCGGGCACTTTCAAAAGCTGAAGTCTGACATCTGGGGTTTACAGGTGCCGCTGCACCCCGGGAAGGTCCCCAGGTCCCCGGCACGTGGGCCGGCGGGCCGAGTGCTCCGCTTACTTGGGGTCAGAAGCACAGTTTCCTTCTCACCACCCCCGCCCCGGCCTCAGGTGTAGAGCCGGGTCAAAAGCTGGGCTCAGCCCTCCGCTGCGCCCGGCGGGGACCGTCCCGAGCAAGTCCGGCTGTCTCCTCCCCTCCTGCCCCACGACTCCAGTCCGCCATGGCCCTTACCCATTCTCCTCGGAGTCCCAGCCTACGACCTCGAACCCGGAAAGCCCAATGGCCAGCGCGGGTCCCAGGAGCCAGCCCCGAGATACGTCTCAGTATTAGCTGTGCCCCGAGCCGCAAAGCTGGGGGCAGCCATGCCACTCTCGGGCCCGTCCGGATTGGCTGAGAAATCTAACGGGGTGGGTTCAGGAAAGGCCGCGGTCCTTCCAGAGGAAAGCGGAGCGCTCCCGGCACTTCTCTGATTGGCCCAGAGAGGAAATGGGCGGGCCGAGCGGAAGCACCGCCCAAAGCTCTGGGCAGGAAAGCTAGAGGCCTGTCGGCCTGCTCGGATTGGCTCAAGGTCGAAAGGGGCGGGCACACAGAGAAGTACCTCCCAGAAGGCTCCAAAACCCAGTCGGATTGGCTCAGAGTGCAAAGGGGCGGGTCTGGTGAGAAGCGCAATCAGGACGTGAGTGGCAGGAGTGGGGAAAAAAAAAAAAAAAAGAATGGGAGGGTGAGGGGAAGGAAAGTCAGAAATCCACCAAATGTAGTTTGTGGTTTCGTTTGGAATCAGAGCAAACCAAATGGGAAAGTGCATTTTTTTAGGAAAAATTCGACTATGAACTGGATTTTGGATATTGAAGAATTATGGTTAATCTCGAAGAGTATGCCTGTCAAAAGTATAGACAAGTATTTAATGCTGAAACTATGTTCTGATTTATTTAAAGCACTCCAACAAAAAATGAAGGGGAATAAAGCAAGAATGGCAAAGTATTGATGACTGTAGGCACAAGACGGGCCATTACACTTTTTTCTCTATTATAGCAAAAATTTTCCATAAAAAGGTTAAAATGGGTGTGGACCCTGAACTCCCACGGAACTAAGTGTCGCCTGGGCAGGGTTTCCACTCGGTCACTGAACATCAGCCACCGGCAGCCTGTCAGGGCTCTTCAACGCAAGGGGGACGTAATTACGTCTAGGAAGAGCGCCTCCCTTTTCGGTCGCGCAAAGATGCCGTAAAACGCACAATGCGCAGGCGTCCTAGCTCACTTTTCCTCGCCCAGCTAACTCACCCACCACCTGACGCCTGCGCAGTAAGTCAGCTGGGCAGCTTGTGGCCGTCTCTGGGGCCGCGTTAGTCACAGCTACCTGGATTCTGAGGTCGTTAGTGTGCCACGCGCCGCCGGGTCGTCACAGCGAGGCGCCGGGGGCCGCTGAGGCCGGGTGGCGCGGCTCTGCCCTGGGTCGCCAGCCCCGAGGCCCGTGAGCAGCCACAATGTCGATCTTCACCCCCACCAACCAGATCCGCCTGACCAATGTGGCCGTGGTACGGATGAAGCGCGCCGGGAAGCGCTTCGAGATCGCCTGCTACAAAAACAAGGTCGTCGGCTGGCGGAGTGGCGTGTGAGTGACTCCGGGCGGGACCCGGTGGCTGCAGAGGCCCCCGCTGGGCCTCTGGTCCAGCGGCGAGAGTGGGCGGAGCTGGCGGCTCGGGGCGGGGGAGGGAATGGAAAACTTGATCTTTGCAGGGAGGGTGGGAAGTGACAGCGCACTGTCCGGAGTTTGAGCTCCTGGTTTTTGTTTGATCGGCTCGGATTGAGTTGGTGGCGTGGGGCTTCGTTTTGCTGGTGTCGCACACGCTACAACCCCCGCCCCCGCCCCCAGTTGTGATTTTTTTTTTCCTGGGGGGGTGGTCTGGCCTTGCAAATACGCTGGCAGCTGTGGTATGTGCTGTCACAGACCCCAGGAAGCCGGGTGGTCTCACGAAAGTGCGCAGTCGCCTCTCTGCTGCCATCTCGGGGCCGGTATTCGGTCCCCGCAGCCTGCCCCGCCCCGCGCCTCTCGGGAGTGTCGGACTCCAGTCCCAGGAGCCAACTGGAAATGGAAATGCCGCCGCCCCGAGTTCAGATGCTGAGCGTTCTTGCCGGTTATGTCGTGGCCGTGCACGGATGTCGGTGCGAAGGGATCCCGTGCAGGCTGCAGGTGTGTTCACGCTGGGCTTTCTTTTCCTGCCCTCAAGGGAGAAAGACCTTGACGAAGTTCTGCAGACGCACTCAGTGTTTGTAAATGTCTCCAAGGGTCAGGTTGCGAAGAAGGATGATCTCATCAGCGCGTTCGGAACGGACGACCAAACTGAAATCTGTAAACAGGTGGGTTCAGCCAGCTTGCCCTTGACCCTCAGCTTTGTTTGCTGCAAAAGCTCCTGTAAGTGTGTTAAAGTGTCTTGTTTGGGGGAGCAGAAACTGGTACCATGCAATAATGTGGGCTACACAGTATCATTTTTATTTGGAATTTTCAAAAAGATTCATTTATTTAAAAGGCAGAGTGAGAGAGAGGGAGAGATAGTGCTTCCACCTGCCGGTTCACTCCCCAAGTGGCTCCTGTGGTCCTGGCTTGGCCAGGCCAAAGCCAGGAGGCTGGAACTCCATCCGGGTCTCCCATGTGGGGACAAGGACAAGGGCCTAAGCACTTGGGCCACCTTCCACTACTTTCCCCGGGCACATTAGTAGGGAGCTGGATTGGAAGTGGAACAGCCAGGACTCAAAATGGTGCCCCAATAAGGAACTGCTGGCGTTACAGGTGGTGGCTTAACCCTAATCTGACATGCCACAACATCAGCCCCACTTTCAATGACAGTACAGATTGGTTTTTTTGCCAGAAGCTACAGAAATTGAATCTTCTAAAATATCTAAAAATTGAATTTCAGATGAGTCATCTGTTAGGCCCTTTGCTGACACTGTGTTTTCCCTTCTACCGTTCATGTGTAGGTAAAATTTAGGAGTACAGCATAACCCAGCAGTGCATCCTTTAGGCGAAGCCCAGATCACTCCTTGCATATCAGTAGTTGGAGAGGATGGAGGTTAATTTTCTCCTCAGTTACTGATTCATTGGGGTTAACAAAGAGTGTGTAATAAAGAAGGATTGCTTTCTTAAATGTGTTGAGTGTTTTTTGTTTGTTTTAGATCTTGACTAAAGGAGAGCTTCAAGTGTCAGACAAGGAACGGCACACACAGCTGGAGCAGATGTTTAGGGATATTGCCACTATTGTAGCAGACAAATGTGTGAACCCTGAAACAAAGAGACCATACACTGTTATCCTTATAGAGAGAGCCATGAAAGACATCCACTATTCAGTCAAAACCAACAAGAGCACAAAACAGCAGGTGAGTGGGCTTTACTGTCCTCAAAACGTATCCCTAGAAGTGAATGCTCCTTGTAGAAATCATTAAAGTAATGGGTCTGCCTGGAAGCATATGGGTAGGAGGTTTGGGGGTGAGAGGGGAAGGAATGGGGGTTGTGAAGAAGAGCGTAGGATTTTTTTTTTTTTTTTTAATGAAGCACAAATATACATTGGACTCTTTCTATCCAAATCAAACCGTTAAGAAAAAACTTGGATGTTTCAAGGGATCATTGTGACCCCTCTTTTATGCACATATAATTCACATATCATAAAATCCTCCTTTTAATGTATACAATTCAGTGGTCTGTTCACACATCTTTGGAACCCTCCCTGCCTCCTAATTTGGGGAATTTTCATCACCCCAGGAAGAAATCCTATATCTGTTAGCAGTCACTCCCTATACCTCTTTTCCCACAAGCACTTCCTACAACCACTAATGTACTGTCTGTGTCTGATGGACTGGTATGACAATGGAATCATGTGAGGTGTGGCCTTTTTAGGGTTCATCCGTGTCATGGCATGAGTCAGTACTGTTTCTTCTTACGCATAAGTAATTTTGTGGAACTGCCACATTGTGTTTATGCATCCACCAGGTGACAAACATTGGGTTGTTCTCACTTTTTAGCCATTACGAATAATGCTGTTAAATTTGTTGAAAGTTCTTGTGTAATCATGTTTGCATTTCTGTATAACTGGGAATGGAATTGCTGGGTCATAGGATAACTAATATTTAAACTTTTGTGAAACTTCCAAACTGTTTTCCAAAGCAGCTGCACCATTTTTGATTTCTAGCAATTTCTCTACATCCTCTACAGTTCTTGTTACTGTTTGCCTTTTTTATAACCGTGCTGGTGGTGTCTTATCTCAGTTTGATTTGCATTCCCCTAATTTGAGCAAATTATTGTGTGAGTACTCATGCTTTGCCTATTTTGGGAAAAATTTCTATTCAGACTACTCATCCCATTTCTTAACTATTTATCTTTTCATTCCTGACTTGTAGGTGTTCTTTTTTCTGGATATTAGTCCTTTAGGAAGTAGGCTTGCATAGATTTTCTCTCATTCTGTGAGTTGTTGTTTTTTTTTTTTTCTTGATTTTTTTTAAGTACAGAAGCTAAATTTTGAGTCCTTTTTTTTTTTTGTGCTTGCTTACATTCTTTGTGTCACAGCTACGAAACCATTGCTTACTCCATCTTGATGGAAGCTGCTGTTTTTGAATACCTCGTGGAGTAACTCAGCAGCAGAAGGCCAGAAGTCGCAGACATTATCAATTTTGTCTTTACCACAGGCTTTGGAAGTGATAAAGCAGCTGAAGGAAGAAGATGAAGATAGAGCGTGCCCACATGAGACTGCGGTTCAGCCTCCCAGTGAATGAGGGGAAGAAGCTGAAAGAAAAGCTCAAGCCGCTGATCAAGGTTGTAGAGAGTGAAGACTACGGCCAGCAGTTGGAAATGGTGAGACGGGAGCATTCTTAATGCCTTGCTTTGTGTTACCAAAACAGCATGTTTTCTAGTCATAAACGTGTTAGGAAACATTTACAAATCGTGAATAGTAAGATATTTAACCTAGATATATGTAGCCTGGAGTTAGGATAACATGTCAAGGTTTGAGTGGTTAGGTACACTTAGGGTTTTTGTTTGTTGGTGTGGTGTGTTTCGTGATTTGTGATAAGGTTATTTTGCTCATGTCTATTTTAGATGAGAAAATATTTTATATTATTTTTGTTAAAGATTTATTTTATTTATTTGAAAAACAGAATTAACAGAGAGAGGTAGAGCCAGAGAGAGAGAGAGAGGTCTTCCATCCACTGGTTCACTCCCCAAATGACCACAATGGCCAGAGTGGAGCTGATATGAAGCCAGGAACCTGGAACTGCTCCTGGGTCTCCCACACAGATGCAGGGACCCAAGGACTTGGGCCATCTTCTACTTCTTTCCCAGGCCATGGCAGAGAGCTGGATCAGATGTGGAGCAGTTGGGAATCGAACCGGCGCCCAGGCCTTTAATGTCGCTGTGCCATAGTGCTGGCCCCCAAACATATGTTTTATTGAGTCTTTTCAAAA